TGCTGGAGCGAGCGATGTGGCGCGTTGGGATTGGTTTTTTCTCTGCCACCGCGGTTGCGCACTCTTGGAGGTGGTCTCTCGTTTCGACCGAGTATGCCCAATCAAACGGCGTCCAGCCCCGAGCATTCTTGACATTGTAGTGTGCGCCGCGGGCAATCAGCAGCGTGATTGTGTCAAAGTAACCCCATGCAGCTGCGTGGTGAAGCGGCGTCGATCCAGTCAAGTCTGGGGAGTTGACGTCTGCACCCATGTCAATCAGAGTTTGGATGATTCCGTTCATCCCTCGCTCTGTTGCTACAATCAGCGCCGTCTTGCCCTGGTCGTTTGTGCAAAATGCGGTCTGCGGGTATTGCGACACGTAGGCCATGAACGCCTCCTCGTTCTTATACTCTGCCGCGACCATCAGCGCCGTATTGTTTTCAAAGTCTTTTGAGATTTCGTGCGCATCATGTCCAGCGTCGAGCAGAAATAGTACAATTTCGTTTTGAGCATAGCGCATTGCGTAAAAGAGGATTGGCCACCCATTTGAGGGGTCGGGGCATTGCAACGGCAGGCCCTTTCGCGTGATGAAACGCTTGACCTGGAATAGATTGCCCTCAGCGACCGCGCTGCGGAGAAGGTGCTGGTAGATTTCGTCGCCCATTTGCGCGGGCAGCGACGGAAATGTGCCGAGCTCGCGGGGAGAATTGCTGGTTGTTTGGGATGGAAAGATGCGCGCGCGTTTGCAGTTGTGCGCAGCAAGTGCGCGAGTCACCGCCGGTTTTTCAGACCGACATCCCTTCAAAAGCAGCTTGTAAGTTCAGCTGCAACAACTTTGACCTTGGCTATCTCGCACCAGATGTCCACGCAGCAACGTTCCGCCGTGCCGCCGATGCGCACGCTTAGTATCTTTGACCCAGACTTCCGCACCCTCCTGGCGACAGTAACCGCCGCCGCGTCTGCAACCACCGTCGCAGCAGAAACACAACGAGACTCCACTCCCCCGCAAGCTGCTGGCAACAAAGATGATGCAGACAATCCCGCAACAACAACCGCTTGCAGTGCTTGTGGGATAAAGTTTACCACCAACGCGGAAATGCGCTCGCATTTCAAGACCGATTGGCACCGTTACAATCTTAAGCGAAAGCTGGCTGACAAACCTCCAATGTCAGAGGATCACTTTGACGAGCTGGTCGATGTCAGCAGTATTGAAGCAAGTGATTCTGAAGATGATGATAATGACGATGGAGATGAGCCTGGCGGGGGTGGAGTGCACCGCGAAGACGGCTCGCCTTTCTTGCTTCTTTCCTTGCCCGATGATCGCTCCGCTCTGCGAATCTACAAAGAGCTGGTGTCAGGTGGGAAGAAGCGTGGCGCTGACGAGCTCGACGCATCGGGCGTGGTCGCACGGTTAGCGCCGCCGCCGTCAGCGGCTTCGCCGCAGCGGTGGGCGCTTCTGATGCTCGCTGCCGGCCACTTTGCCGGAACAATTGTGGATTGCAAAACGGGCAAAGCTCTCGCTCACAAGACTTTTCATCGTTACACTACCCGTCGGAAACAAGGCGGGGCACAGAGCACGTATGTCGCCACGTAACGGAAAAGGCCAGCATTGGGAAAAAACTTGTATGCTTATCTGGATCTCCGATTAATGCAGGTCGGATGCGGTTAAAGGCGCTGCACACAGCGCCGGTTCTACTCTGCGAAGGTACAATGAACAAGCACTGAAGGTACGCTGTACATGATTGCACACATTTCTGTGCACTTCTTAGCTGGTCATCGCTCAAACGCGTTCGTTCTTTATTGCAGGAAGAAATAGCGGAGCTTTTGAAAACTTGGAAGTCGATGCTTGATTCCTGTCAGCTCATCTTTATCCGCGCCGCGCCGCTCAATCGCAAAGCCCTCTTTTACGAAGGAAGCCCGCTTGCCACTGATAGTGACCGCGTGCGGTCGTTTCCTTTTACCACACGTCGTCCGACGTTTGGCGAGCTCATGCGCTGCTTTAAGGAACTTACCACTGTTCGCGTGCAGCCAATACCACAGGCGAAGGACATGTCGGCCGCTGTGGAGCAAAAGACCGCAGTCAACCCAAAACCTGTCGTCGCAACGGTACAGGCCGCCCCGGAAGTTGTCGAACCGCCAGCTCTGGACGCGGAGACCGCGAAGCTCGTCGACCTTTGTAAGCGCGGGAAAACGGATCTTCTTCGTACAGCTTTGGATGCTGCCGGTGCGGCCGGCACAGATCCTATCAATGTTGTGTTCCCTGATGCCCACGGCACCACCCTCCTGCATGTCGCCGCTGCCGCGGGACAAGCCGAGATTGTCGATGTCCTGCTCACCGCTGGCGGGGATCCTACAAAAGGCACAGAGAAAAAGAAGGGACTGCGTCCGTACGATGTCGCAGCGGACAAAGACACCCGCGACGCGTTCCGGCGCTACATGGCGCGACAACCCGATGCATGGGACTGGCGCGAGGCCCGCGTGCCCGGCCCGCTTACAGAAGATATGGAACGCGCACAACGTGAAAAGGAACGAGAAAAGAAAAAGAAGGCGAAGGAAAAGCAAAAGGCATATAATGCGGCGAAAAAGAGCTCTACCCCGCCAGTGGAGCCGGAACCGGAAGCTGAACCGCCGCGCGCGACCGCGGCTGGTGCAAAAGCGCGAAAGGCAATGGGCGGACTGAGCAAGACGGAGCGCGAGGCGGCAGGGATGACGCCTGAGCGCCGGGCGGCATTGGATCGCGAGAAGCGCGCGTTAGCGGCCGAAGCGAGGATGAGGGGCGGTATGAATCAGTGTGCCGCGTGTGGGAAGAGTCTGATTGGAATCAAGCCCTTCGAAAAGTTTATGTTTCGTTACTGTTCCTTGTCTTGTGTTCAGGTTGGTTGGCTTCAGTGTGAAAGTGATCGTAATACGTTGACTAACGCTTTCGCTCGCACAGTCACATCAGATCTTGCATGCTTAAGTAGCGGGCCGCGTTTTTCTGCATACGCAAATCTGTTCAGCTACCATTTGGCACGAAGTTACCTTCCTAGACGCGAACCGCCTCTGCTACCCCATACTCCATTCATGCTCAGCCAACCCCGGGTGTCCATGTAGCCCTCATTGGGCATGTCTCAAGTCCATGCAAGGAGTATTAATGGCATAATATTAGAAGATTATCGATAATTAGAGCAGGAGAATCTATATAGCTGTCACTGCAGGCGCACCCCCCTCCACCGCCTTTTGTTTGAACGCCAAATACAAATCATGCACTTCTTTGTGGATATGCGCATACGCCTTGAGGTCCTGCTGCTCTGGTAACGCGATGCGTCGGACAGAGCGCGAGCCAAGCGGCGAAATCTCAGAATGGTAGAGCATGTTTGCGTCCAGCGCAGCAGGGTCCGACACTTCTGCTGCCAAGTACAACGGTGCCGTTGCACCGTTGCGTGGGCTAATGTTGCAGCCTGAAATTGCAAGGAATCTCATCTGTGAAGGTAGGATGGCACATAAAGAACGGAGTCGATTATTAGATTACACTGACTTATCGGCTTGCAGCGCCAACGTGTTCTTACCAAGTACAGCGAGATAATCATTGCTATGTCGATCAAAATCCCTTGTCCCATCAATCCTGTGAAGCAGTTTCCGGGGCTCACCACGAACGCGTAAATCTCCTGTTTTTTCAACTCTTCGTGCATTTGCACCGCGAGAATCTCGCACAGGCGCTTGCTGGATTCATACGGGTGGTTGCCCTTTAGACATTGCAAGTCCTCCGCGTCGAAAAACTCTGGTGTCGACGCTGTTGTTGAGCTGAACCACAGGACACGCGAACCGCGCTGCATGCGTGTAAGCAGCTCCATAACCATGATGTAGTGGCCAAACACGTTGGCGGCAAACACGGCGCCAAGACCTTCAGCTGTCGTTGCGCCAACTTCTTGCTTGAAAAAGTCGCCGCCGGTTTGCGCGACGTATGCTGGTCGTGTGACGAGATTGTACACACCTGTCGGGATGTCCATTGCCGAGCACGGTAGGATTCCGGCATTGAGATAGAGCGCGTCGAGACGATGAAATCTGGTGACACCGCAAAAGGTTTAAACCCTTTTAAGCGTGACTCGAGGAAAGAAAAAAGGGAAACTCGCAAGAAACCCACCGACGCTTAAACTCTTCGCAAGCCCCAAACACGCTTTTTGTGTCTGACAAGTCGACAATCAGAATCTGTACAAGCGTTTCCGGCAGCGCCGCAGTGCGTTTCTTTTGCGCTTCTTGTAAAAGGCGTGCGCGAGCCGCCTCTGCGCGCGGCCGACTCCGACAGCCCATGACCAGCACCGTTGACGCTTCTGCGTTAAGCGAGACGGCGAGATCAATCAGCCGCTGCATGATCCCAAAGCCGACGCCACTGCGCAGATGGGATGGGAAAAGGAAACGATGATTACCCTATAGCAATATGGCCTGCTCGTTCGCCGTATATTACCTGTTGGCGCCAGTTACAAGGGCAATGCTGCTAGCGTTGTCACCCATTATCAAGGTCTACAGGGAAAATACGCTGGGAGTAAACGCCGGCAGACGATAGCACTGGGAATCTGCGAGCCAGGAGCGGGTATATATATTACGATACGGCACTCCAATTTCGGCAACCGTTTCGAGAGAGATCAGACCACTCGGCGCGGTGAGACCAGAAGTGAGGCCACATCTCACAATAGTAGCAGCCAGGGCCTGTTCTGCTCATTTCCCCGATTGCAAGAAACGGGCCAAGGTGGTGGAAACGAGTAGTTTTCATTTGCGCAAATTTTGAAATGCCGTCTCTCTCTCTCGCTCTGCAACTCATCTGAAAGTTGAACCTAATGTGAGTTAGAGCACATACATGTGGATGTGTGTACGCTCACGGCCACCTGTCAGTTTACCCCGCGTTGACGCGCGGCCGCTACTGCGACGGGAAGAAAAAGTAAACAAGATTTGCAAAGACCTTTACTTCTCTGATGCAAAATGCATTGGACGGCGAAGAAGCAAAACCATGCCAAAAAGGCTAATGCCAGCAAAAGGTTAATTAATGCCCGCACCAGGGTTTGAACCTGGGACCCTTTGTTTACAAGACAAAAGCGCTACCACTACGCCACACGGGCATCCGGAGTCAGTGAGATATGAGGCTCTTACCAAACATTACCGGTCTTTCAGTGCTTTGGACAGCTGCCACGCCAAAGCTTCCTGCACTCCCCAGGATACAACAAACATTATCAAAGAAGGTCTTTCTGGCGCTTCTCCTTGTCTGTCCACCCCTTTCTCAGGCGACCTTCCTGAGGAACAACGGACCTTTGATCGATCCTCAAACATTATTCATCTGGGGGGCGTGGTGGCAGCTGATTCCCCGAATTCGCTTCAGTGCGATGACCAAACTCCCGACAGCATTTGTGTCTGCAAATGTAACGGGAAACCTGCATTTCACGAGGACATCTACAATCCGACCCGTTGTTGCACGACTTTGGTCGAGCTGATGGCTCTCGTTCAATCGTTCAATGATAAAGTGCGGTATCTCAGAGTCTTGTTAATGAAATTTAGTAGTTCCATTCACGTATCAGCCAAAAACCGGCGAGGCAGGTTGCAGACCGATCGCTGTAGCAAAACCTTGTGCACGAGCAAGGCGGCGAGGATGTCGTTGGATGAAACCCTGATGATTTTCAGCTCTTTACCCGCAAGTTCTTCGGCGAAGGGAAGAACCTGGGAGCGATGTGTAGTGAACAAAGTCCCTCGGCGGTGAGGTTGCTCTGGGCTTCGATAGCCCAAATGGGTGTAGTTGCTGCCCACGAATGCCAGGGGAGTCAACTGGTGTTTTTCGAAGGTTACTTGCCACAGTTGCAATTGTGGCGATTGAGAAAAGAAAGTGGAAAAGACTGCGAGTGATAATTGGCTGGTGCTACTAACGTGCTGAAAGTACCATTTATCCAGTTCTGAGTAATCAGTAATAGCAACGGCAATCTACATAAAATATGCATGGCTGCTACCTAGAAAGGCGACAGACGTCTACTTGCCTAGCGCCAATTCGTCAGCAGTGACATACCGCACGGCGCCAGTCCGCCGGTCATGCACCTCAAACAACCTTTCCGCAAGATACCGTTTCCCTACTACTACGACCGCCGGATATCCGACCAAGGCCGCATCCTTCATCTTAAACCCAAAGCTGAGCGTATCCCGATCGTCAATCACGACACCTGCGTCCTCGCCCACAGCTGCCAGCAGTGCCGTGCATGCAGCCATCACACCCTCTTCCACGTCTTCCTGCTCTAGCGCAGGGCTTTTGCGGTTAACGGACGGTACAACGCACGCGGCAAATGGTGCAATGGCAGCAGGCCAGATAATACCCTCCGCGTCGTTGCATGCCTCGACAACAGCCGCCATGGTCCGCGTGACTCCAATGCCAAAGCAGCCCATCTGCATTGGTACGACCTGGTTGCGGTCGTTGCGAATGGTTGCGCCCAGTGCAGATGAGTATTTGACTCCAAGAAGGAACGTGTGGCCAATCTCAATGGCACGGTGCGAGGTAAGCGGCGATGGCTTTTTGGATGTTTCGGATCGTGAAGCGCATGTAGAGCAGCCGTCTCCTCGTTCCACGGTCACAAAGTCACCGATAGACGCTGCGGGGACATCGGCCGACGAACCCTTCCGCTTGGCAACCTCAACGTCAGTAAGCACCAGGTCACCTGCAAGCGCCACCACCGTTGTTGCTTCGGCCCTCAAACCATCAGGGAATGCCAGATCAAGTCCTTTAAGCATTGGATGCTGCTTGAGCTTTGTTGGATTGATCGAGCGGTGCTGCGCTACATGAATCACAGCGCGGCGCTTGGTTGGCGGATTCTCAGACGGATCGCTTAGCAAAACCACAACCTGGCCGTCGTGCTCGGAGGTTCGCTTTATGACGCCCGTTGCGCGTTCCTCATTGGCGGTATACCCACACCATTCGCAGAGAAGAACCGTGTCCTCCCCGGCTTTGGAGAGGAAGTGATACTCGTGGCTGCGAGTGCCTCCAATATTGCCTGTATCTGCTTCGGCGGCCGCAAAGGGAATGCCAAGCGCCGACAAAATGCGATCATAAGCGCCTCGAACCTCGCCATAGGTTTTCATTGCCGCTTCTTCAGACACGTCGAATGTGTACATGTCCTTCATCACAAACTCGCGCGCGCGTAGCAGTCCAGACCGCGGGCGCGCCTCATCGCGGTACTTGCGGCCAATTTGATAAAGCCGGAGAGGCAGCTGGCGCCAGGAGAGCCTTTCTGACGCAACCAGCTGCGTGATTTCCTCTTCGTGCGTTGGTGCAAGACAAAACTCGCTTCCTTTCCGATCGTTAACTTTAAACATCTCGGCGCCCGTTGACTCCCACCGGCCAGTCTTTTTCCACCCATCCGAAGGCAGCAGGCACGGAAGCGCGACTTTTTGACCGTCCACGCTTTGCATTTCGCGATCAATGAGCTTTTCCAACTTTGCCAGCACACGCAAGCCTAGCGGCAAGAAGCTGTACATGCCTGCGGACGACTGCCTGATGAAGCCAGCGCGCAGCAGCAGGTCGTGGCTTACGGCGATGTCGGCCGCTTTAGTGGTGCTCTTTGCCGTTGGAGCGAGCATGCGTGAAAGTCGGAAGGGGCGCGCGGCATCGGAGCTATGGCGAGCGCCGAATGGCTGAACCTTTCCCGTTCTCGCATGCCGATGCCGGCTGGGGTTGATGAGGAGGAGGCATTTCGGTGCGATGCGGCGACTCATGCGGGCTGTCACAAAAAGAGCGTTTAAGCAATGTCTCCGACGACCGGCGCCAAAAACCTGCGTCTCATCGCCCGTACCCCTTACTATTGTCTCTATCTGCAAAAGCAGCAACTTACCGGTAGCTGCCCAGTGCCCACCAACAATCACCTTGCTGGGGCTCCGTTTCGTTTAGATCGTGGAAGCTGAAGGCACCGACGATGACGGCGTTTGTGCATGGTATCGTACCGTACTGTAGGAATATACCTCGTGGGGGCTGGTTGACGACGTGTGATGTTTGTGTAGCAGGATGACTCGCGATGACGGAGTTCGACATGCTCTTGGCTATAAAAGAAGGACCCTGGTTAACCCCCCTGCTTGCTGCCCAACAACAGCAAACGCTCAACTTTCTCTTCTTTACCAAACATGCACTCCCACACCAACACTCCCGTTACCGAACCCACTGAGGCGCACGGCGTCAAGGGCCTGATGGCCAAGGCCAAGGCAGTCCTCCCTGGCCACAAGGAAGCGCCCGCCACCACCGCCCACCGCCACGAGCACGACCTGACCCACAACAGCAACCACACCAACATTGCCGCATCAGGCGCACACACTGCGCATCACAACGCGCACACTGCCCACCAAGGCGGCCTTGTCGGAAACACAGCCGAGGTCGAGGACAACCGGGGCATGGCAGCAGCACTAGGAGCGACCGGCTACACCGTGCCTCCTTCGCACAAGATTCACGACCCTGCACATGTGCATGACGACGTAACCGCAAAGCATATTCACTAGATAATCCCTTTCCCTCCCTCTGGTCTGACTCCTTTGTACATTTGAGCAATATCCTCTTCTCGCATTGTAAAATACAAATTTTGTTCTTGCCCTTGTCTATTTATGCTCTTCGTTTACTGTGTTGGCGACCCGCCGAGCCCAAGGTGGACCTTCTTTTTTTCTAAAGGGCAATGCGCTTTGGCACCGTAATTCGAGCAAGAATTCTACCCTTTCTTCAAATCAAAACGCCCGTTTGTATGGTAGTGCATAACGATCCGCCGTCCGCTTGTGTCTTGCATGCATATAACGATCTCCCAAAGAAATGCATGGTTGCACTAGAGGCGAGACGGACGTTGAGGAGGACAACCAAACTTTTTTTTGTTCCCAGTGCCTGCTTTTCCTGTTTCCTCGTGCGAAGAAAGGTCACAAACGCTCGAGAAAAGGGTGTAGCACAAGTTTTATATTAGATTGTTTGAAAGCTCCTAGATCGATGGGCGGGAGAAGGCGCTATGAAGTGTCGCCGCAAGGGTCGATGTAATTGTAGGGTGCCGCCCGCGTGCGAAGGTAACGCATGCATGTAAATTGAAGCACTCTTTAATCCTTTTGCTCACGGGCCTCGAGCTTCTTGGCCCAGTACCCGCCAACGACAGGCAGCTGGGAAAAGATGTCTGTCCGAGCAAGAGGCTGCCAAACAAACATGAAAGTGTTAAAACAGAGCGAGGCGAGCAGACAACACCTGCGTTCTTTGGAACTGTGGGTCGTACCGTAGGTTCGAGGAGGTACAATGCAAAGATTCCACCAGCGGTGCCCCACGCCGCAAGGGTCGGGGCGCTGTTAGCGTGCACCGCAAACGTTCCAGTTAACATTTTGCGGGGATATGACAAACACTGCAGACCCATAGTTTTGCACGCACTAGTTCCTGAATTTTTCCCGGTGCATAAGTGGAGCGAGCTTGCGGATCCACGGGGCGACGGTTACCCACTGCTGAGCCAAGACCATGTTTGTTTCAATGAGGGGGGGTATGGGATGCTGAGAATGCTGCCGCGAAGGATGACCCGCAGACACCCGAGTCCCAATTGAGACATGGCGCGTTTCCATAGCAATAACGATGGTCATTAAACATTTGAGACCAGAACACCGCACGCAGTGCCAGCCTGTGCCTTGACCCGGCAATCTTGACATGCGCTACATATAATACTGAATGTGTATTGAAGTCCCGCCTGTGATTACGCTTGCTAAAATAATTTCATGTGGCTCGCTATGTTCTCCGCGTAGAAAACTCGTCTTTTTTTTGTGTGCTTTGTGCGAGGTTTGGTTCGCTGAAAACCTATCACCGTTCTATGGAGAAAACCCCAGTCGACACGTGTTCTTTTACATGGTGCCCTACCGTATCTGACATCTTGCCAAAGCCTTATATGTAGTTAGTCTCGACGGGTGCCAAATTTCTGCCCCGAGCGTAAATATTAGGTGTGGTTGAGCAGGGTCGGCGAGCTCGTGAGGCAGGGGCGTGTCTGAGGGCTTGCGCTTTAGACCACCGTTTGCATCCATAATTCCCGGCTTACAATGAACCCTATATATCACTGCCGGTACATGAGACAGACAGGGACGCCAATGGCGAGGGCGA